AATTTCACGAACAACCTGATAGGCATCAGAACAAGGGGCAATTTGAAACCAGACAGCAATTATGACATGCACAACACATTTAAATATGGATTTCCATCATTTTTCACTTCGGAAATATCCACTGACAGATACCGGAACCTTACTCAGTGGGTGTGGCTTCGTGACCAGTTAACAGGCAAATGTCGCTCTTATCACAGCTGCATAGAGGATGCGATTTCAACACAATCACCCTGTAATTTGCATTTGCTACACATTTGTACGCGAGGAAACTCTCGACTAGACGACGAAAATCAACAAACATGAAATTGAAAAGGGAAGTGGACACCATAATTTGATTGACTAGTAAGACAAATAAGCCAAGCAAAAAAAGATACCGGGCGCTGCTCATTTTGAATTAGGGACGGGGGGGGCATATTATTACTAAAAAGGTCTTATCTGGTGAGACCCCTTAACTCTTGTGAAGTTGCGAAGGAGTACACATGCGCTTACAGAAATGTAGAAGTCTCCGAGAGTGGAGTGTTCAACTTTGCCGAGTATTATTTGGTACCCCCTTTAAACCGAAATATCACGCTTTTCACAAGAATACTGAGTTATGGGCAAAAGTCAGACCACGGATGGGATACCGTCCGTGGTCCGACTTTTGCCCATAACTGAGCATTCTTGTGATGGCTTTCATATCGCGTACTGCACTTGACACGTTGCGGACCGCATGACACACATGGTGTGTCATGAATTTGCCTCTATGCTGTCTTTTATTTGATTGTTTTGAATATTCTTTCATGTTCTGTGTTTGTGAAAACACGTCTTCGGTTATCGACATATCCTCCCTCATGAGCGTTTGAGAATAGGGGGGAAATTACTGATCAATTTTTTATGAAAAATGATGAAAAAAAATGATGAAATGATTGGGACGTGCGCGCAGTACGGCGGTCCGCAATGTGTTAAACAGTAGTTATCAAACAATATCACGCTTTTGAGCAAGCGCCGTATTGCGCGTTGCGAAGAGTGGAGCGCTCAAAGCAACCTAATACGATTTAACTCTCTAAACACTTCTCGTTCTGCAACTTGTCCATTTCCAAGCAACCAAAAAAGTTGGTGCGATTTTGAAGGTAGCGAAGTAAATAACATAAAAAACGGGTTAAACTTAGATTTATTCCGAAAAATAATTACCCTCAGCAAGTAATACACTTTCCCATTTAGACACAAGAGCACATATACAACTTTTGTAAAAATCTTGCTTTTGAGAATTAAAGAAATGTTTTAGTTCGTTGTCCAAGGCCACTTCATTTTCAAATCACCGTTTCCTCATGTGGTTGTCCAAGGCCAAATGATAGTCACTTGGAGCAAGGTCTGGCGAGTACGGAGCGTGAGGTAGAATTTCCCATCCTAGACGCGCTATTGTTTCCGAGTGATTCTTGCAGTGTGTGGTCTTGCATTGTCCTGGTGGAAAACCACACCTTTTCTGTTCGCTAAAGCAGGCTGTTTTTTACTTAGAACGACCGTAAGTCTGTTAAGCTGTGCTGAATAGATTTCAGAAGTAATGTTTGTCCACTTGGCAGAAGCTTAAAGTGAACGATATCTGCTGTAGTCCACCATACGCATAAGACCACCTTTTGTTGGTGAGTGTTTGTTTAGCAGTCAGCTGCAATGGATCATTACTGGATAGCCAATGACATGAGCGCTTTCTGTTACAGTACATTACCCATCGTCGCACGTCACCATACGGTCAAAAAAGGGCCTTATGTTGTGGCGGGAAAGCAACGATGAACAAATTGTTAAGCGCTGCGACTTGTCTGCTTCGCTTAATTCATGTGGTACCCATTTACTTAACTTCCATCGTTTTCCAAGTTGATGCAAATGTATGGGAATAGTTTCATCGCTCACTTTGAACCTTAAGGCAATGACACCTTGACGTATATCTTAAATCTATTCGAAGTTACCCTACCACTAGATCCAGTTTACTGAATATACTTCATAAAAGTAGATAATTGAAAAAAAACCGCACGAACTTCATTGGTTGCTTGATATATGGCCGCCTCGGTCAAAAAACTATGGGGATTGGGTCATTTGCTTTCTCTAAAAAACTACTAACTGCTATTTTCCCACTTTCCAGGATTTCTTCTGAAGGGCCATCGCCGTGATTCGCCTCATTGATCGGAGACAAGAGGCGGAGCACCTTGATATGTGAGCATGTGCTCTAACCTTCTAACCCAAGGAAAAGAGTAAGGATCTTCAACGCGTTTGAGCTCGATTTGCCCGTTTTGCTTCTTTTGCGCTTTGCTCAGCTCTTCTCTTTCCATTCTCGGCCGTGGATTGAAATAAACGCGCTCTTTAGTATCACTATTCAAAGAACAGAGGCGCTAAAGTATGACTTCCAAGGATAATGGATAAAAGTGACGCTGGAACGAGAAGGCTATGAATGAGCAACACTGACAAACGTCATGACCGAATTTATTGATTATACCTTAACCTTGCCAGGCTAATATTGTCACTGAAACGTACCTGTCATTTCCAATAACACGGTAGACTTTTGACAAGTCCGATATGTCTTGAGTTACTGTATTGTTGGTTAAACACCTTCCCTAAATAGACAAACTGGATTGAAAAACGAAAAATTCGCCACAATCCCGATATTCATACCAACCTGAACACCGTGTGAGTGGAAAGCTAATATCGAGTCCTGCATACAGTGGACATATTCTATAAGGAAGTTGAACGTGAAAACAGCCAACTTCGTTTTCTCGCATCCTTCCAGATCGGTGATCACTACCTAAAAAGGAACATGAAGCAGCACAACAGAGCGGAGCCACGAACAAATCTCGCTTTTTTTCATCACGGCATCGGAGGGTTTTGAAATTTGGTGAAAATCGAAAAGGAACAACCACTGAGGAGGATGACTTTCCTGCACGCGGCGTCGCTGCAACAGTGTAAAGTTGGTTCTAGCTGATATTGTCTTTTATCAGACGAGAACGCCAGTGATGAGAGACAGAAAGTAATGAGAACTGACAGTGGTAGGGACGTTGCCGCCGCTGTCGCTGCCTTCAAGGTGGTACAGCTTTTACGGTACCCAATCGTAGAGATTTAGCGGAAGGGACAGGCGTCGGTGGGTGATATCACTTGGTAAGAGTAACTAAGAGCCATCACTACATTTCTTACAACTTTGCTGTTAAAAGGTCACGTCGTGTATTGGGATCCCCCAGCGAGGGGTAGTTTTGGGTCGGTGGAGGCAGGAGGGTTGTATTAACCTTTGATGAGAAAAATGGGTTTTTCTTGGGCTTCAGCTGTTGATTGCTCACTGTTCGCCTGATTTAGGTGAGCTAGATAGAGGGGAGGGGGCCAAAAAAAATCACTTTTCTTCACTGACTTTCGTGGCGCTATAAGTTACACTTTATAAATTCTAATCGGACATTTCCACCACCATATTAAAGAGCATATTAAATACTATTATAAGACTCCGCCCCTTCTAGACGAGCGCCATCGAGAGATTCTGACACGCGACTGCGATGTGGTGCCTGAGATCAGCGAGATGGTCGGTTTCTCCGCCACCGTAGACCACACTATTGAACTCCGCCCCACCGGGTAACTCAGGATGTTCAGGTCAGGTCACCTACTTGGATATGCTATCTTCTTTAGGTACTCACCATCAGCCCCCTTCCATTCCAAGTAGGCGAGAATTTCTCCAACGCCCTTCGATTCCATGTGGTGGCACCCAATGCTGTAGCAGTACAAAGTTTCCAGGAAGGTAGGGGCGGCGACATGTGGGGAAGATATTCCTCTTCAGTTGCTCGATGTAACCGCCAGCGCTCATCTTTAGTCCGGAGCCCACGAAGGAAATATTGGTCTTTCCATTCCAGGTACCTCCGGTCCATACCATCAACCCGCTCCTTGACGACTGCGGTGAAGATGATGTCCTAGACCGTAGCGACGTTGTCGAAGCTGCTCGATGTTGGAGGTCTTCCAGATTGAGAGTACTAGTCTCCAGGTAGCTACCCATGGGTGACTCCACACTAGAAGTTTCGCAGCTGTTTGGGGGTGACATGCATTCCAAAGGTCTTCTCCAGTCAGGCTGCGACTGGTGATGACCTCAATTTTGGTGTACATGAAGGATGGGCGAGGGCCAGCTCCTGCTTATCGAGGAACATCTTGGGAATCTTCCGCCCTGGTACTCGTATCCACATCTTCTCTCTGGGCTGCAAAAACTTGGCTGATATGTGAATCGGTCGAAGTGACTTTTTTTTGCCCCCCCCCCTGTATAGCGGATAAAAGGGGAGGGGCGTACAGGAAGAGGAAACTTTGGAGGAGGAGTTGTGGGCGGTTGTATCTTGCAAGCATTTCCCCAAGGGCAGGACGTATCCTGAGTGCTAAGCATTACAATATTAAGTGTTTCAGGCAAGAAACTCGGTTTTAAATCATTCCTCTAACCATTATGACATCAAGGTAGTCAAACGTGTTCGACGCTCAAATTATTTGCATCTATACCTATTGCTGAATCACGAGGAGAGAGGTGCATATTGCGCACTAAAACGGGAAAGATAATCGAAGAAGTTTTCTGAAAGTCAAATAAGCAGCCTTCTATTAAATTTGAACAATGAAGATCTGTTAGGAGAGGAAGGTCGTCACTTGAGGAAAGGAAGGGTCCCAGGCTAATAGCTAAGATATCCTCTTGTGGGCAGTGCTCCAGCCAAGCTTGTCGGCTTAAGCCACTAAGATGGAAACAGACGTTAACTGAAAGCAGATGTGAAGTCACTGAAATGGCCAATATTATGCCGTGGGCGCTGTTCGGATTAGTAGGGGCATTTTGCACATTTCCGCTATTTCCTTTTTCTAGATCATATCAGCTAACAGGTCTCATTTTGATGATACTAGTAAACTCCTGTGAAATAGCACAAGTGAGCCATGTTTGTTACAGTACTTCCTAGGTCTTCACAGATGGCCTGTAGAGCTTTGCTGAGTGGTTGTGGTGCCCTCGCCGAGCAGAACTGCGCCATGTCATTAATGCTTCAGTATGCAGTAACATATCTACTCACCTTGTTGCGGTAAGCGAACAAGACGGAATCCTTGCCAATTTGTGACATCGAAACAACGTCCAGTTTTGTACCACAACACTGAGTAACATCTGGCGTTGGATTCACAACCTAAACACGATGCAAAACTCATCCAACCTGAAATAAGAACCAACCAGTTAGAGGACTGCAAGAGTGAAAATAAAACTATTTGACTTATAAACCTGAAAACAAAGAGACAAACCTTAACTGCCCCATTTGCAACTCCTGTATACTCACCTTTCTGTCATCAAATTTGATCCAGCTAAATTCATATTTATCTATGGAGTCAGTTCCTTGAACACCAACACACAATTGTGGAAAATCGGTGCGTGCATTGATCAACTGAAGTATACACAAAAACTTCGAAATAAATTGTAATAGAAAATAGTGTTAAAGCAAACACAGGATAAGCCGTGTTGGGGGGGGGAAGGGTGCGAGTGACGGTGATGGAGGGAACCTTAACTGTAAGTCAAATATGACTGGTGAGAAAGTTGTTAGCAGCGGTCAGTCGTGATAGGGGCAAAGAGGAAACACTAGCGTGAAGAGGTGGGGAGATACTGATATATACTTTTACTCAACTGGTCCGCCCATCACAATGATTCCCTGTGAATGTGTACATTTTGGAGAGTCTGATGAGACTAACACGAATACAGAAGGCACGACAGAGCTGACAATTAAAAGCGAAAGTTCCTTGTTCGAAGTTGTTGCTTATTGTTCGGATTGGATTCTGCCAAGGAATCCTTTACAAAGTATTCTCCGAAGCATGTAGTTTTCAAAACTATTTCAGTGTTCCTCAAGGGAAGAATGAAGAGAGCTTTACGTGCTATTATGAGTGTTCATCAATAAATAAACAACTTACCGGTGCAGTTCGTGGCGGAGGGGGGGGGGCATTCTGCACTGTCGCTGTTTCCCATGGACGGGCTCATTGCTTTACAGGTTTACAGTATTTTACAAGACGTGACGAACAGTTTCTATTAGGTCGTCCCATTCAAAAGTGCCGAGACATATAGAGGAATGGCAGAAAAACAAAGGGGATAGAACAGCGGGCTACTATACCATTTGGAGGCTGGTACCTTACCTATGCATCTGTGAAACTTGGCGAACCTATCCACAGAAGAAGTTCTCGAGAAATTAAAAAGAAGCCTGAGTGGTGATTATCATCGCCCGATTTTCAAATCAGGCGTCATAAGAGGATATTGCGCTGCACAAATTTGACATGCGCTGGACCAGCAGTTGTGTGTAATGGTGTTCTCGAAATCAAGATGGAAGGGTTGTCAGAGGCCGAGAGGAGAGAAAAATGTAGACGTGATGGTCCATAATGTTCATCCTGAAACGAAAAGAGTAGGATGAAGTCAAGCGGCTGATGTCTGATCACAGAGCCATGACCTTTGTCGAGCTTGTTCGCGGGACTGGACATCGCCTGCTTCAATGCTTGCCCGAGGTATGTCCGAAAAAATTGAGGATGGTCAGGGCGGTGTGCGCATGGGTATCCTAATTTTCTTATAGAAGCACGAACGCTGTAAATATTCTATGCTCTAGCAGCATATTCTCAGCATGGGATGTCATGCAGACTGTGAAGACGCACCCTGGTCCCAGATGAAATGTGGGTGGTCTTGGACCTCGAGGAAAACTCATAATCGTCAATTTTGTATGGATGGAGATGGAGTTACGTGGGCGCAAGTTTATGATCACCATAGCGAAGGATTCCCAAACTATGGCATTCACGCGACTCTATACAGGGAATAAAATCGTAGCTGTCGGTGTATATTGCCTGTCACCCGGTAACCACATCTACAAATGTATGATACCACACAACTAAAAGAAGACCACCGTTGCTCGTCATAGTGCCAGACCCCGAGTAGCTGTATTGTAGGGCAGTGCTGGGACAAAACAATACTGAACCTGGGTTCAATCGCCCCATTCGCCCAACATAAAGCCGTTCGATTCCAACTGTTCTGGTCAGTCGGGGTACTCTCTAGGGCAAACGCTACAATGTTTTGCCATTCGCCGACATTGGCAGCAACAGCAATTTACTCGCACTTGTTGCAAAACCGAAGGTACCAGAGGTCCAAACGTTTTCCGGGCCCTGTGAGCGGGTCATTGGAAAAGGAGGGATCTACTAAAGGCCGAAATACTACTTTTCTGTTTTTCTCTGTATTATATGAATGAAATCTTCGGCACTTTTGAATGGGAGAGAAGTGAATATGTTAGAGATGAGTATGTTTTTGAGCATCTGCATTTGTCTTCTGTCTTCTCTATTCTTCTTTGACATTACTACTGCATTTCATTGTTGTTTAACATCGATTTTTTGTTAGCAGCTCCGGTTTGTTAGTGTTTTTCCTCTTTCATAAAGTCGAGACCCTAGTTGAAAGAGGTTGTAAATGCAATTTCTCCTATCATCACCACCCCAACACAATGGCGCATCCTGATCTAGCGGCCCATAAGAACGTACTTTGAAGGGACTGAGAGGAAAACGTGTGGTTGCATTAAGTTCAGCTGATCGAACCAACAAAAACTTGTTCAACGGCTCGTACCTGAATTTTAAATACGTCTATATTCGGCGACAAAGCAAATTACATTAATCTCTGATCTTTCAGTACCTACCACTGGAACAAAAGTACTGCAGAAGGAGTACAACAACACAGGAATACAGCTCCAGCCTGAGGACCATCACCATGCGATGTTGTACATTGAAGGACACCCCTAAACAGATACTGCATGCGCGCCAATACTTGGAAGGAAAGTGACTAGAAATTACTTGGTTTCCGGTAGTCGAACGGAGATGGCAAGCTTTTTTGGAATGTATTTCTCTGGTACCCTATTGATAGGCTTACTTATACGTAAGGTGAGATTCTTCTGTGAAAGCGCAACTAAGTCGTGCCTGAACGAATTGAAATAACAATATATCAGGAAAACTATTGATAACAGTTTAATCCGACCTATAGAGGTAACTATTTCGGCCTTGCATCGCCATCAACACATCTCGATGGACATACAGCCATGAACAACGACGATGGTGAATCTTAAAAATCAAGTTTATGGCTGCGTTCTTACTTTGCGTCAGCTAGGAAAGCAGATACATGTAAGTACGCATTTCAGCGCTGACCGGCAAACGCACAGGAGATAAGGAACGCGTAGATTTGATACCTACACTTCCGTAGGTGCTCAGGAGACGCTCAAAACGCGATGGGAAGTATGACGCAGCTAAAAGTACAAAATACAGGAATGACGAAACGGACGAATGAAGCTTGGACAACTCTCCATCTATCACGTTTGTCGTATCCAGAAGCGATAGATGCTATCTGCGCACGAGAACGGAGAAATTGTGCACGCCACTGCTGGATAACCCAAGAATCCAGCACAATTGATTCGTAACACACTATGATCTTGTTTAGTGAAGCAAGCACGCGCCATGAACGACCTAGAAACACAACGTATGTAGTTCTTCTTCTTCAGGAAATCTGCGCTAAAAAATTGCCGAGGGCCTGCACGAGGCAAACAATATTTAGCGGAAGTGCTCACTTTTGGCGTAATGCGGCACCCCAGAAGTATATGTTTTGGCGGCTCACTCAATCGATGGATTGGAGCGTAGACGTATGAGGTCACTTGGTTCTAACGAACGATGTACCGAATCATGGCATTCTCGTTGTGCCCGCAGCGTTCGAGGAGGGCTCGGAGGGCTGCAAAAAACAAACATACCTCCTCAAACGTACGGCAATAAGAATTCAAATTGTGGATGAATGGAGGCGAATGCAACACATCGGAGAGGTTAAGTAAAACTCACGGCCATATGGTTCGAGTCTTAATGAACCAGTTCCATCATGAAGTAAGCGTCACGCAGATAGAACGTGCGGAGCAGGGAGTCACCAGATACAACGTCCGGTAGAGGAGGCAAATCCTTCAAATAAATTTTTCATGCGGAAAAAATATACAGGGCAGTCCAGTCAACACCGCTGTAAACAAATCTCTACATGAAGGAAAAACACGCTTGCGGGAGGTGATCTAAACAAGAACGGATAATAACAGGATTTGACAACATGACTCTTTAGGGAGTCCCAAAGATAGCGGCTATATTCGACTCGCCCCAAAAAGTCTGCATAAGTGTTGAACGATGAGGGGAAAAAGATTTTAGGTGCCCCTAGCTCTGCACCTCCCCTATTCCGAAAAGCACCAAAGTTGAGGACAGGCTGGGAGCACAGAGTCAAAGCACCTCATGCTCATGAACATGTTCTAATCTGCGACTCTGAACCTGAACTACGATAGGTTTGACCAAGCTCTGGCGATGACAGCCGCGCGTCGCTGGTATCCTAATGGAGGAAGTTCTGACAACAAGTTATACCGTTTGGTAGAATAATCTTACTAGAATGGATCAAACGAAAATATTTCAGAGTGACTGATACTGGAGCTTGTAGTGGCACACTTTCCACGCGCGGGCTTAGGGGGTGAAATCCCGGACTGGCTCTCGCCCAGGCCAGCCAAGCCTTGTATCCTCCAGGGAGGGACCAAATCCGTCTGGGAGGATAAGAACACTGACGTTTACACCGGCTCGCTGGTCATTTTATGGGCCACATCGCATTCAATAAACCAACACGATTTTCACATGTTTTCCGTGCCGCATCCCAAAAAGGATTGATCAACGCTGAAGGCTTCATCACTTTTTTTTATTTGACTGATCGATGATGAAAGGTAAAGTCTTTACGATTTCTTCATGCGATACTGATTCCATTTTCAAACAGAATCGTCGTGATGTTTTTTATGCTACAGCCCCATACATTACCTGCGCGCCACCCGGCGTACGAGTCAGGGCCCTTACCCTACCAGATGAGCCTACAGAACAGCGCGAAAGGTAAGCGCGACTTGTCACTACACCGCCTCTGCCTTATTCAGTTGATAACTAAACAGTAAACTACTCGCATGATGACTGCAAATCATTGTCACAGACCCAGAAATAGTTACAGCTTCCCATGGGACTTTGAAAGGAGACCTAGGTAGACTGATAGTGTTTAACCCATTCGTGACAATCTCCGCCACTGGTGATGGACAGATTAGGTTGTTGCATAAGTTCTTATACACGTGTTTGATCCTTCCTAGTTTCGTTCGCGTATGGATGCGAGACACGGGTCATGGCACACGTGGCGTGACGTGAGGAGACTCATCCGGTTTCATACACAGCGGTATCCCACGCACCGAGCGGGCATTGCAGACACAAGTCGCACATTGCAGACAAAAACGACCGGCAGCGCCACGTGTTGTTGCTACCAGCGACTCTCGGCTGAAGCAAAGGAGCCGCAGTACACAAGCGGTGATACATACGTGAGGAGTGCATCTCCTACATGAATGCAAGAAGTGATCGCCCGAAGCACGAAGTGATGGGACCCGACGTCCAACAGAGGAATGGCGACCAGTGTCGTAGCAGATCATATCGAGCGTGCACGTGGACTAGAAAAGCTCGCGAAGGTAGCAAAGCTGGCGATGGATGAACTGTCCGCTTATGACCTCTCGGGAGGGTGACCACCTGCACTTCTCTCCTCACTTTCCACAAGAGGCTTCTCAACTCGATGGTCACTGGAGATGAGAATGGGTCCTCTACGATAACCCTGTGAGGAAGCGGCAGTGGTCAACAAAGGAGAACAGCCAGAAGTCACCCCAGAGGTCGACCTTCACCCCAGAAAGGTTCCCCTGTCCTGCTGGTGGTCCAGAAGAGGCATGGAGTACTGGGAGCTGCTGGAGAAGGGACAGACGATTGACGCTTCCACATACGTGACCCAGTTGCGGAAATTGAAAGATCACGTCGACCGTACCCGTGGAAGGAATGCGGAAATCTACTTCCACCATGACAACGCCCGACCTCACACTGCAAAGGCGACCCAGGCCGAGCTGGAGAAGTAGGATGGCTGATGGTCGCCCACCACCTCCCTACAGCCCTGACCTCGCTCCTTCTGACAACTGGCTGTTCAGCCACCTGCAGCGCTATCTGGACGGAAAAAAGTTCAAAACAAAGGATCAGGTCAGAAAAGCGCTCGACGACTTCTTCAAGTCCCAGCCTCCGTCGTTCTGGAAGATGGAATCGACAAGCTGCCTGAGCGCTGGCATCGAGTAGGAGTGGTGATGGTGCATACCTCTAATTTCCAGGCTGGTTCGTTTTCGAGTTATTTACAAAAAAGTCGTGTATAAGAACTTATGCAACAACCTAATAAAATGTCCACTTCGTACCATGTCCACCATGTGGCGCGGACGGGCTTTTGATGAAATTTTTATAAACAGTTCGAGTTCTTCGAGGAACTTTTCCCAGTGGTACAAGTCTTCATGCCCTTCACAAGAATGCTGAGTTATGGGCAAAAGTCGGACCACGGACGGGATTCGAGCCCGCATCTTTGCTTACCGGGCAGTTGCGTTCCCTTTTAGGCTACCGAGGCCACTTTTGGCCACTCAGTTCAATGGCTATTGGTGTCATAGCTTTACAGCAATCACACGTTCAACGTGATGAGCCGGTTAGCCGATATCGGCAGTGAACCGCAAAGCTGAAGGCTTTTTACAAGTTTCAAGCTGTTATTGTTCGATAGCTGCTGTTTAACGCCGCAGTGCGCGATCCGAAAGCTATGGCACAGTAACAGCTTGAAACTTTATTCCCTTGTTAATTTATGAAAATAGTTGGCCAACGAGATCTTCAGATATGAGGGTCTCAGGCATGATTCAACTAGCAGCACCCCCAAAAACTCTGAAAAATGTTTGCTGAAAAATTGGCGGTAGGGGTTACTCAGTGCCCCGATCACCAATGTAACGTCCGTTACTGGCGCCGGCGATGCTTGACGTTTAGTACCATTAGACGCCAATTTGGCGCCACTCTTTTGATTAAAACTGGAGGGCCACAATGGTGCCGCGCCAACTCACCACTACCTTTTTTCATCAAATTTAGAAAAAGCTACATACCACGGCTTTTTGTTGGGCGTCACGAATATGAAGTTCACTACAGGTTCACTACAGGTCCTACCGCCAACTGGCGCCACAGTTCGCCAATTTGGTGCTATCACCTCTTCCACCCAAACTGATGGGAACTCGGATACTGGAGTTATTCGCTGTCCTTATTATTGATATGACATTCATTTTGAGCAGGAACGTTAGCTCGGGCACAAAGGTTACCAATGCGATGCTGAGGCTAATCTTGATTCAGGAGGAAGGAGTCACTCCTCCTTCAAGCACTCCTATAGCCTTTTCAGAGCGCTACATGGCGCTCATGCCGTGTAGCGCTTTGCAAAGATAAAGACCAATGTCATTTGTGATTGGGCTTCCCCCCCCCACCCAACTGAGCTGGAATGCAGAACAGCTGCGACTTTAGCGAAAAAGGCGACGGCGAGTGCAGGTGTATCCTAGCGCCGAATAGCGCCGGTGAAAAACTATGGGCACTGTCAACCTTTTACTGCCTCAGACATCCGGAACCAAGCCATTCGACCAACTTCCTTTCTATGTGGACAGACTTGGCTTAGCAGTCGTTTCCTGAGTTGGTTTGACCTTTTTAACACGAGTACCATTTTCGCTCGGCACAAAACCTCCTTACTATCCAAAGGTTTTGAGCCCCTCATTATATCAAATCACCTCAATATGCAAGCTTATACGGGTTTTCAAGGGAAGACTATAGCACTAAATCAACGCAAATTGGCGCCATATGGCACCGGAGGATAGAAGGATGTCATTTTTGTGACCTAAGGAATAACCCCTATACTCGATGGTTCAGTAAAAAGATTTCGGGAGCAGGAAGTTGAACAGTTCCAAAATTGTTAGTAAAGGATCACCGGAGCATTTGCGAGCTCTCAGCAAGTGTCCCCCACCCGCGGCGGGCACTTGCTGTGAGCCCGCAAAAGCCTCCGTGAGACTT